CCCTCGTTTGTTGTCCTCTTCTCCCTCTCTGCCTACGGTTTACCGGGCAGTTCTATTTGACGATATATATATCGTCACATATATATATATATATATATATATATATATATATATATATATATATATATATATAATCCATAGAGTTTTCCATCTGGTGTGGGTGAGTGATAGTCTGCTTTGATTGTCGTCACAGGTACCTTGAGGGCAGTGGTTTGGTGCTTTGATTGTCGTCACAGGTACCTTGAGGGCAGTGGTTGGTGGTCCCCACCACCTCAGAGGGGTATCAGTTGTCAGGCAGTGGTTGATGCTTAACCACAACTGGGGTTAATGTGGATTATTATCACTTACAGTGTAATCAGCTACTAAGGGATTATGCAGACTATTGAGGGTTCAGCCTCCTCCTGATGAGTAGGTAGGTGAAACTCCCACAAAACAGTTTGTCACAGCCCCACGTTTGTTGTCCTCGTATTTTCATCAATAACTCGTTATACTGCACAAAAATGAAAAACCTCACATGACACCAGCTTCAGGCCTCTTCTGGGGCGAGGTCCCACTAGCAGCGGGATAGGATAGAAACGAGTTTGTGGGGCAGTTGAGTGACCCCAATCCTGCCGTGCAGTAGTCGTGATCCCACGGTCAGTGTTTTACTTGTATTACCCGAAAAAATTAGGAGATCTTCGCTCCCCTCCTCCTCTCCTTAACACTGGGCATGCCCGTGCAAAGAAAGCTTCCCGCCAGAATCTTTTCTATCGGTTGGGGGTAAGGCCAACCCCAAAGGAGGGTGGGATCGGCCTTAGCCCACTGGATAGAAGATTTTCAGTATTTTACTTGTTGTTGCGCAATTATCTCATCAGGTGGAGCGCTCCTTCAATCACGGAGTATATGGAGGGTGTCAGAATCAGTGCGGACAGAAGTCAAGTTTATTCCAGCAAATGTGGCGGTTACTTTGTTCACTGCTGATGCAACCACCACCATCAGATCATTTGTGATCTGATGGCTGGGAARCACTCTGCCGTGATTTTCGGTGGGAGGTCTGTGTTTTTTTTTTTTTTTTTTGCGTTTCTCCTGTTTTCTCAGCCCAGAAATTCGTAATGAACCTATCGGGCCGCTGCCACTCAGTGTCACACTGGATCGGCCACACTCCTATCCGACTGCTAATGGGACCTCGCCCCTGGTTCATACAGGGGTTGTTTTTCAGGATTTCCCGCCCTCGTTTTTTTTTTTGTTTTTTTTTTGTGTGTGTGGTCCGATGGACCACAGATCAGATATTAAACTGATCAGAACAGATACTACACTTGATCTTAGCCAAAAGGCCGAGAAAGGTATGCTCGTTTCTTTTTCGAAGATGAAATCCTCTCCTTTCCCCAAATAATAGAGAAGCCCCCTCGCTCACCCGGTGATGAATGTGGGCTGTAGCGGGCAGGGGAGATTGTCTTTGGGGATATGACTCGGCCCTGCTCGTTGCCCGTGGTGGCGAAGTTTATTCGGTGTGGGTGAGGCAGAGAGGCTGAAGTAAACAAGCTGGTTCCCGAGCTGTGAAGTCAACACGTCAAGCACCGTGAAGTTGGAGGTATAATTCGACAACTGGGTGGGGTCTGCTCTTCTTAGAGAAGGATATCTTATTTATCCCAGTCTATTATTGCCTTTGTATGAGTAATACTAGAGTTTATTTCGGTATTATTTTAGTATTGGGGATACTGAAGGTTAGGGGTAGTGACGAAAGTCCAGGCATCATGCCAGGGGCCGACGGGGCCTCGTCCTCCTCGGCCCATCCCCACTCCCCGCCTATCCCGGATGCGGAGAAACAGAGGATAAGGGACATTCTCAGCACCTGTTATTCGGATGGGATCATGCCTCGTCGGTTGTCTCCTAATACCTCCCCAAACACAGTGGAGGTGGGAGAGGACTATGTCAGGGTGACTATCAACCCGGAAGTTCTCCGTATACAGGCGGACTGGTTAAAAGAACACGTCGTAACTATCCTCTATGGGGACGAAACCACGTCATTACCAGTGGAAGTTAAAAAACGATTAGTCAGGATCTATGAGGATGGCTGGGCAACCAGTCGGGCGATCAATGCCCCGCCCAAGAGAGGCTTGTTCCATAACGAGTGCAAGAACTTAGTGACTTATGTGTCAGCCTCTGCACAAGTGGCTACCTTCATGCTGCGAAAAGGGCATGAGAAGGTAACTTTGGATAGGAAAGTATACTCGCTCACCTTCCAACCATGGATGAATGATTTCCAACTTCAAGAGTGGAGGGAGACGATGCGATTTAACTATTTTTGGATTAAGTGTCTGCAGGTACCAGTCTCGGCGATGCCACAGCTAGAGAATGTTGTGGAGGAGGCGTTTGGTCAGATACTGAAATCCTATCCGGCTTTTAAAGAACCCAATTCCCCAGAGTTGTTAAATATCAGGTTCGACTTGGTATCCTCCGCAAGACTGCGGTTCAAACCATGGTTATGCTTGGACCTAGCTGAACATGGATATGTGGAATTGGAAGTCATAGGGGCCGATACACCATGGTGTGCCTCGTGTAAACAATTCTACCACTTTGCTGGAGACCCGTCATGCCCAAAGAACAAAAATCGAAACTCAAAGGGACAGGAGGGGCAAAGTGGGCAGGATGAGGGATCCGGTGGGGGCAGAGATAAGGAAAAGGGAGAAGAAAGGGAGAAGGATCCAGAGAAGGGGCCAGAGAAAGAACATGAATCGGAGGGGGGAGACGGGAAATCAGAAGGTAATCAGGGTGACGAAGGCACCCGTCTGGGAAAATCCAAAGGGGAGGACAGAAACACGGAATCGAATGTGAAGGGGAAAGGGAAGGACACACGGGGGAGAAATCGAAGAGTGTTGGGGAGGAAACAACAGAAAAAAGTATACCGCCAAGTGCGAAAAGCCGCAGCCAAAGGGAAAGAGGAAAGCCATAAGGACACAGAAATGGAAGAAGCCACAGAGGGTGGAGAGAAAGAGGGAGAGAAGCAGCCAATAGACGTCTCAGAACAGGAGGAAGGGAACGGAGGACAAGGGGGTGGCCAAGGGGAGGAGACAGTGGAAGAAAAAGGAAAAGACAAGAAAGAATCCCCAGCACTACCTACAGCAGAAAAGGAAGAAACCCCCGCCCTCCCTCTGAGGAGGACGGGATCTATTTTGGAAGAAGGGGAGGACCAACCCCACCCCCACCCCCCATCCTCTACTCTCTCACCAGCGTCAAAACCCGAGGAGATTCAAGAGGTAGGGAAGGACATAAGGAGTGAAGCAGAAGGAATGCATACGGGGATTGAAAATGAAAGAGACCAACACCCCACCCCGAAGGGCAGCAGAAGGGATTTTACAGAGACAAAAGGGGGAGGGGGAATGATTAATTTAATACACGAAAGCATGATGACAAAGGACAAATTTGCGGAGGAAGAGGGGTTGGGGGCATCCGAAGGGTCGGAGGAGACAAATAGTTCAGAGGATATTGACCCTTCAGAGAACTCGAAGAGCCCCAGGGAAAGGTGGGATGAAGACGAAGAAGAGGTAGGAACAGGGGGGGAGGAGGAAGGAAAGCAGGCGAACGGAGAAGATTGGAAATCAGATGCAGACTCAGAGGAAGAGGCGGAAGAGGATTTCCTGGGGGTGGTTGGGAATTCATTATCCGGAGAAGGGAACGGTGAAGGGGAGGAGGAGGAGGACGAAGAGGTCAGGGATGATGGTAACTCTATAGTTTCGGATACTAAAAAAAACAAAGGAAATTCCGCATTTAAAGATTTTAGAATCTATACGAATGACTTTTTTTTCTTGACAAAGAGAAGCCCGGTCCTGTGCTTAGTACACAGGGACATATGGAAGCCGAATGCAAGGAGGTGGACGGGGATAAAGGGGAGGAGGGTGGATCAGCCAAAGGGGGGGGATTGACAGGCACAGGGGAGAAGAATCCATTCAATCGATATACAGGGATATATCTTCAAGAAAGTAGCGGGCTGGAATCCCCTTCCAAGAGGGCGAAAGGAAATGACACCTCTGGGATAGAGACTTCCATGAATGTGGCCGAGGATGCTCAAAACACAGGTCCCCCGGAGGAGGAATTTAAAGGGCGTAAACGGTCACTCCTTTGCAGATCCTTGAGGAAGGAATTGTCTCTGGCGGGCCCAATGAGAACAATAACGAGAGCAATAAAAGACAGTGGACCCGCCAAGGAATTCCTTACTCCCTTGATCTGCTCAGATACAGTGAATGGAATTATGGTGCTCACACGCATAACGCAGAATAAGGGGCTCGAACTACCCGCGATTCCCATCACTTCCACCCCCTCAGATGAGGAGGTGATAGAGCTCACCAAGAGGCACGTTCTCAACCACATGGGAATAGTGGCTCGTATCCCAACTATCAAAATGAACAGATATTTGTCTGTGGTGAAGGAGAAACTAACGTTGATCTTTCATTTTGTAGTATTGGGATTGAGATCAATAAATGATTCATTTGACAAATGGTGTGAGTTGCGTGTCCATTGGATCCCACTGCAGGATTTTCTGATTAATAATATAAGCGCGTTAGCTTCGCTGCACTTACCTGAAGGAAGATCCGGGACAGTGGTCACAGAATGAATAAAACACCAGAACGTCCAGGACCTCATGAAGGAGGAAACCCTCGCAAGAATGTTGCAGCCAGTAAAATCTGGAGGGGGTACCCAGAAGGAGATGGGAAAAAGCAAAATGGGGCCGGTGAACCCAGCCCCTCATTCCGGTGGCAGCCGTATCCAACAAGACGGCGGGGTGAGGCTTGATGGTCCAACCGCCGAAACCGCCTAAACTGCGGATTGCAACTTGGAATGTTCGTGGATTGGGTGATACTAATAAAAAATATAAACGCGCTAGATTAAGGAAATGGATGCATTCAGCTAATGTGCAAATTCTAGGGCTACAAGAAACAAAGCTCAACACTACAAAGATTAGGAAAATTCTCCCCCGGTGGGAAGGACCACAGATATGGACTCCATCGGATGAATCCTGCGGAGGGGTCGCGATACTCATAGATAAAAATTTGGAGATTGCCCTCCTTGACTCGTATGCTGATCCAGGGGGTCGGATGGCTTGGATAAAGTTTCTGTATCAAAATGAAGAGTGGGCAGTTATGACTATTTATGCCCCAGTGGAGTTGCACCTACGGGTAGACTTTCTGGCGGAACTCCCGAGGTTTATTCCGGACACAGAGAATTTACTGATTTTAGGGGACTGGAACACTATTCAAATCCCATGTCTGGACTCGCTTTCCAGGTACCCAACAAGGGCGGACGTAGAAATACTCAATGAATTTATTGACAGTCAAGCTCTTATGAATGTGTATCGTATTTTAAACCCAGACTCAAATGGCTACACCTGGTATGGCCCTAGATCATCAAAACAGACAATGGGCCCCAGAAGTAGACTGGATTTTATACTGGCAAGAGGGGCCCCGTGGGACAGGTGTTGCTGGGCAGATGTCAAAGAGAGCTCCTCTTTGTCAGACCACTGTCCGGTAATTATGGACGTGGTTGCAGTGGATATAGTAGAGAATTTCAGACCCCCCTTCAGACTTAACGTGAACCTCTTGAAAGATGAAGGAATCAAAACCTGGGTTATAGAACAGATGTTCACGTGGAACCAAGCAAAAGATCTTTTTGAGGAAAACTCAGAATGGGCAGAGGTTGGAATAGGCATAGTACGCGCGGCATTAATGAACTTTTCTAGCATAAAGGCGGCCAATAGATCCTGGAAAGAAAAACAGCTGAGACAAATGATAGCGTACGCAGAAGAAAGAATGGGGAATGATCCATTTTCATATTACTATTGGTCGGAGAAAAGGCGAGCCGCCTTGATAGAAACCGAAGCCCTGGAGATACAGGCGCAAGCTGAAAGGTTGGAATGGTTGAACATACGGGGGATTGTAGGCTATGATAGAATGACGAAAATTTCATTCAGATCATTAATGTTAAGACATTCCAAAAGTTTAATAAGGGAATTAGCACACCCGTTTTCAATTGAAACTGTGACTGCCTCAGACACGGAAACAATGTGTGTACATGCCTATGAATATTTAAGTGATATCGTAACTACCAGAAGGCCCTTTGATACTCCAGAAACCGACCTCTCTGAAGGTAGCCAGTACTGGGACTTATCACAAGTTCACCTCCCACCTGGGGCAGCAGAACTGTTGGACAGTCCATTCACTGTGGCTGAGCTGAAAACAGCAGCCAAGCGAATGGCAAAAGGAAAATGCCCCGGAACGGATGGGCTCCCGGTGGAACTGTTTACAGAATGCTGGGAGGGCTTTGGCCCATTTTTGGGGGAGGTATACAACAACATCAGAAGCACAGGGAGGCTCCCCGAAGGTTTTCGAAAAGGGTATATTTCATTACTATATAAAAAGGGGAGTAAATCGGAAGTAAGAAACTACCGCCCAATATCCGTTTTGAACGTAGTCTATAAAATTTTGGCGAAAGCGCAGACCATAAGGTTAGCAGAATTTTTGCCGAGTCTTATTGGCCAAGAACAAGGGGCATTTGTAAAAGGTCGGACCATTTTTGATAATATAATGACCACCATCCAGGCTCTAGAGGTCATATCCTCAGAAAAACGCGAAATAGCAGCCCTTCTCCTCGATATGGAGAAGGCGTATGATAAGGTGGGATGGCCATTCGTTTTCACCTCTCTCAAGAGAATGGGGTTTGGGCCTCAGTTTATCAAATGCGTAAAGGCAATGTATGTAGAGGCTCCGTCAGCAGTATTGGTCAATGGTAGATTGTCAAAGGAGTTTAAACTCACGCGTTCTCTGASGCAAGGGTGCCCCCTGGCCCCATTGCTGTTTRTGATCCAACTGGAGATAWTACTAGACAACATAAGGCTAAACACCCGGATCRGAGGACTGGACCTCCCACCCACAATCCACTGGAAGGGKGGAGCATTAGCTGACGATCTGACGGTAGCRTGTGAGAATAGTGAGAATTCGTTACAGGAACTGAGGCAGGTATTAGATCAGTATTGCTTACTATCAGAGGCTACAATAAACTGGGATAAATCTGTATATCTCCTCCCTGCTCCGTTTGTACTTTGTGTAAACTGGGGTCTCAGACAAGTTCCAACAGAAAGTTCAGAAASACTTCTCGGTGTGCAAGTCTCCCTCACCAACTGTGCAGCGGCCCAGGACAAGATCCTACAGGACAAGGTGAGTGCGAGGGTTCAAGGCTGGGTWAGAAACTTTAAATTGTCCCTTTTTGGTCGGGCACTGGTGCTGACGTCAGCAGCATTCTCAATCTTATGGTTTCCTCKCACGGTTMATTGGCTRGGGGACAAAGCCTACTCAGCTGTCAAAAGAGTTGCGGCCAGATATCTGTGGAAGCCTGCGGCGGAAGATCAAGATGGTTTCATTTGCAAGGCGGCCTGGGATTTGATTTGCTTACCAAGGGCCCAAGGGGGACTCGGCCTTCTGGACCCGAGAGATCAGAACATAGCTTTACTGATGAAATGGCTGATCAAGGCCATCTTCAKATCGGAACACAAACAGTGGATCATCTTGGCCGAATATATTTTCATRAAAGAATGGGCACTGCCGGATACAAGAAGTGTGTGGGTCAGTATTGTTCAGACGAATATGTCTAAGCGTAGAATCCACTCAAAGYTTTGGTCAGGGATACTGCATGCTTGGAACAAAATCAAGCCAGGTAGACTGAAGGAACCSAGTTCCAAATTARAAATTTCTAATCAGTKCCTGTTTGACAATAATCTGATCTGCCAGCTATCGGGCCAGCCATTTTTGACGGCCAGCGGGCCAGGCCACTTTGCAAAAGCATGGATGGAGAAGGGGGTCTATCTCATTAGCCACATCTGGGATGAAACTAGACAGGACTGGCTGCGCCCAGCAGATGTTAGAAGGCGGATAACAAGACTGCACAAAGTCGGGGACCATTATCAACGAATACTCCTAGCCATTCCACCACAGTGGAAGAACTTGCTGAAAGATGAGTCTGAGTATGCCTCAGGCACATGGTTAGAACACCCAGATGATAATAACAGAGTATTAAAAGTCTTGGGTCCGGATCTGAGTCAGGGCATGAGAGTGGAACAATGGAGGGCGGACAGAATTAGCACGGAGGAGACCTCAATAACGTTCGAGCAAGAGAGAACAGTTACTTCCACAAATACTCTACCTGAAGTGAGAGTTTGGGAAGATCAACTAGGTAATAGGACGCAGGCTACGTTACTGAGAGGTAACCCAGCGGACTATGCTGTCGAGGCTTTACTGTTTGGTTGGGAAGAAAGAGGAAAAAAGAAACATCCAATTTGTTGGTATACTACTAAAATTGGTGTAGCTCAGCGACGTCAGAATAGGCTAAGGCCACAGACAGTAGCTGAGCATAGGTTCCAGAAGACTCAAGAGGCTAATAAGCCCACACCAGACTATCCGGAAATTTGGAAGAGACTGCGTAAAATACCATCCCAGAAACAGGCAAGCCTAATGTGGTCACACTCGATGGGCATCATTCCATCAGCTCTGTGGTTACAATCGAGGGGCATGCAATTGAGCTTAACCTGTCCAAGATGTAGGTGGGGGTCGGAATCTACAGAACAAGTGTGGTTATATTGCCCGCTTGCAGATGAGATCTGGCTTTGGTGGAAGACCATGTGGGAAACCTGGGTAGATCAGAAATGGGACTGGAGTGACGATTGGATCCTACATGCAATTCCCCCGGAGAAGGCCAAATGGAATGATCGGTGGGGATATGCAGCCCTTGTCTGCAGAGGAATTGTGATGGAAACGATTTGGAAAGCAAGAAATGTCGCAGTCTTCAAGGAAGAGCTGATTTCAGCACATCAACAGAAGAATATGATCAAACAATCGTTGAGGTTCTCCATCTTAGCAGACTGGAAGAGATCTGGGATGAGAACAGGGGGAGGTCTCTCCTGGTTCAGGAAAGTCTGGACAGGTAATAAAGCATTGGCAATAGTTACAGAAGAGGGCAAGTTAAATATTGCGAATTGGCAACAAAGATGGAGTTGTAACAGTTACCTCGAGAAGTTAAGCCACTCAAGAGGTGTTAGCCTGACAGAAGTAGATGGATTCCTCTGAGAAAGAATTGGTGGCCTTTTTACTGAGCGTAAAGTGGAGTTTTTGGGAGCAGTGTTTGAGAATGGGACGCAGGACCCGGTTTCCTGCAAGGGATTAGATGGGCTCTGCCCGGACATGTTACACCGGGTTGAATTGTGAGGTCCCCGGCCTCAAGGTTACCCATTTTGAAATATATTGATAATTGCTCTCAAAAAAAAAAAAAAAAAATAGAGAAGATGAGTGTGAAAAAAAAACCCCCCAAAAAAAAAAAAAAAAAAAAAAAAAAAAAAAAAAAAAAAAAAAAACACCTGCATGATGTGCTTAGACAACATAGCCGAACGTAAAACTCACGCCACTGGCCACCTGGCGCTGCAACCATTTCCAGGCTCCCTCCGCCTTCTTTCTCCCTTTCGGTTGTTATGGACCTCGCTGCACTACTCTCCACATGCAGAAAAGACAAAAAAGATGGCCTTGTATCTTTCCATGTTGTAGCGGAAGATTCAGTCTCGTTTTGCACATTTGCGGAGTCGCAGAACCA